ACACTGGGCTTTTACCAGTCTGCCTCCAGCTGCAGGAAGGTTCCCACATTACAGACCTGCCCACTCTAGCTTGCTGCAATGGGCTTCCCTAGTGGTAAGCAAATTTTTCTCCCAGATTCAGTTTCCTTGGTAAAGAGGATTGCATTTTGTCCCTCTGCAGAATAAATAATTAAGTACTGAGACTGAGGCCTTCTTATAGGGGACAGACTTTATGATAAAAGCTCATGTAATTTCTTTCATTTGTTGCTGTTCATATGAAAAGAAATCAAAGAAGTTTACCATATGTGGTGGTAGTCTCTAGAATGAGCTTTCAAATATTCCAGTATTTCACCAAGTTCTAATGATTTTGAGTGGTTTGTTAACCCCAGTGTTGAAAGCCAGGGTGTAATCATATCTGCAGAACTGAGGGATTCTCCTTGGGTTTCTAGTTGTGTATGGATATGATGTTCAGCAGGATCCCCAACAGAGAGTTCAAATTTGTGCCATAGCTCTAAACACACACCTTTCTGTTGAGCCTGGACTTAATTTGATTGCAGGATAAGAGGGAAAGGCAATAGCAGCTCAAAGCCACATTGCTGTATCAAATGGCTTTCAGAAGTCAACACATCCCTTAGTGAAGTCAGGGGAGATGCAGGCATTCAGCTGCCACAGTAAATGCCCACAGACACACTCACAGCAATCACCTCTCTTGCCAGACATTCAGGCTTCCATCATGCACTGCCCATGTGCTGCTCCTCTACTGGGAAGGGCCTTCTCAGTCCTGAGCTCATCCTGGCCCACCAGAACAGTTATTTGCATTCTAATACCAAAAATAACTGTGGAAAGGTGCTGGGAATGAAGAGGTTAGATATAAGTCTTTCTAAACCACACTTTTTTCACCACCTCTGACCCATGATTAGAAATGAAGTTACTGTTGGAAGAGATGTTTTTTTAACATTTCTGATGGAAATCACACTGAAAGAATATTCTGTTTGCAAATGGCTCAAAGAACTCTCGTGGGATCTGCTGAGGTTCTGAGCAGAGGTGTTTGGGCAGTGTTGCTCCTGCGTTTCCTTTTGCTTTTAGCTCAGTTTGGAGGCTCCAGCCTCTGGGGTACTAGAACTCATCTCTGCTTGCACTGCTGAGGGTCCCTCAAATGTCTCTTTAACCAGCAGGTTTCCCTTACCTGGTTGCCATTCTGGAGAAGGTTGTCTTTGCATCGGAGTTTCTTTTCCAAGTCCTGAATGAGGGCCTCTTTTGTTCCTCTAATTTCTTGGTCTGATGTCTTCTGCATAGAGTTGATGCTGGCTTGTTTGTTATACATTGGCTGGGAGTAACTGCTCGTGCAGGAAGAGAAAACAAAGTTACTCCCGTGGGCCTGCTGGGCTGTTTGCTGCAGCTTCACTGAATGCACACAAAAATGTCAACCTGCCTCTTAAAAACTGTGGTTCAAATGAACCCATAAAGCATCTGGGAGATGAATGGGCCAGGCTGGGTATCAAAAACTTAAGGGGAAGCATCATGGCATAGCCAAATCATTGAGTGTCCTCCCACAACACTCATTGTTCAGCATCCCTGTGTTGTGCAGTGGCCCCTCCTGTAATCCACAGCCAACAGACAGGATCATCTCCTGGAGTTTGATAGTACACTTGATTCTGAAAGATTCTGGGAAAAGAGGAGCATCCATCAGAAGGGGCTGCAAAGGTCTGCTGGAGGTCACAGCACTCTGTGCTGACAGGATCTATAACCCTGTTTGTGATGGGCAGCCCTCGTGTGCTGCACTTGGGTTCAGAAATTGTTTCTACTGAAAATCCTCTTCCCCCTGTCACTTGGGATTTCTGCTCATTAGAGCAGGGTAGAAGGGTTATAATTCTGAAATACTCCCAGCACGGCTCAGACTTAATAACTTGCTTAAGTTATAACTTAAAAACTTTAATAATTTGCCCAACAGATTAATATGTCTCATGTCCCTGTTTGCCCATTAGTAGCGTGATTGGGAAAATAATTCCTCAACTCTCCGGGCGTTGCATTTAAGAGCAGCTTATCTGAAAAGCATAGTGAGGCACCCACACCCTTTGCTATGGAAACAAACAACCCCACACTATGCACACAAACTCCAGCAGTCACTCCACATGTGTTTCTAATGCCCCACACTCTTGCAGGAGTTTAGCAAACAGTCCTGAGAGCCCCAGCTCACCTGGTCTGTCTTACCTTCCCTCTTCCCACAGTGCTGTGATTCAGAAAACCCCCAGAAACATTCAGGTTACCTGAATGCAAACTGACACTTAAACCTTGATTTATATCCAGGCCAGCAGGACCCCTGCCCCTATCACCTTTCTAATATTTCCAGTTGAGTGTTTGTGCATATTCTGCCCTGACTTTCCCCAGGACCTCCAGCTAATATTGGCAGGAATACAAGTTGGTGAGAAGGCAAGGCCCAGCTCCCTTTGAGATCTCACTGACCTTGGGAGATATTTGGATTGCAGCCCAAAGGCAAAATGATATAATACATATTCAGGAAAGAATTTAGTCTTTGGTCTAAAGGGGTAATATTTTCAAGTGGCTGCCTTTCTGTTTGCACACATGATTAATGGAAAGGGTATTGTAGGTGAGTGTAGGTGATGTGGAACCTGAAAACACTGCTGAGAGGTACTAGACAATTCTCCAAGTTGTTTATATGAGGGAAGTACTACTGCCTTCCCCCACCTCCCCATTCATAAGCCATACTCGTTGAGGAAATTAATTTGAGATGGGTGTCAATCCTCTGCTCTGAATAACTCTAATTAAGAGATTTCTTTCAAATCAAACTAAACTACTCAAACTGACTCCAGAAAACCCACACAGCTGTGCAGTTTAATTCCTGATGGACACCCATCCCTCCCACACAGTCACCAGGGGCAAAGCTCTCAGCCTCCTAACCCGACTCCTGCAGAGTCCTGCCCTGAACACGGGCAGTCAGTGGGAGCTGTGCCATTGGCTTTGGCCCCAGCTGGTGTTTCGTGGGGTGGTTGGATTTGGGATGGTCAGTGCAGGGGAGAGGCCAGGCCGGAGGGAAGCAGGGGGAGGTTAGAAGGCTGTGTATACTTACTGAGGTTCCATGGGAGAAGGAGTTTGGCTGTTATAGTCGGGCTGCGAGGGGAGCACTGAGCACAGGAATGCTGCGGGGGATTGGTTAGGCATGGGTATAAGCCTCTGCCCAGATGATGAGCTAGCAGGAGACTGTGCAGATGCAGGAGTGATGGGATATGTGGATTCCTTGGGGGCACTACAGGAAGGCGAGGAGAGCGTGATTGAAGAGCTCAGCGATGACGAGGAGGAGAATTTCTGCCCGCTCGGGTTGCGAGGCTGAATGAGGATGGAGGACTGTTTGATCTCTCTGCTCGACTCCGCGGAGGCTGCGGGTCCCGGAGGCTGCTGCTGCCCTTGACACACATTCTTAGACTGGATAAAGTGTTTTGGACGTTCGTAGTTAAACATGGTTGGTTGGCACATGGAGGAAACGGATGGGAGGTTGGGGACACTCATAGGAGAGGTTTCGCGGCTGTCCTGGGTTTTTGTAGGTGATAACTGGCTTTGGATGGGTGGCTGGTAAAAACTAGGTGGTAGGCCACAAAAGTTTTCTTGGCTGGGCTCCTGGATAGAATGGAACCCTTGCCTTGCAGAATAGAGGCTTTCCTGGTGTGGATTTTCCCTTAAGGAAGACAATACAGATAAAATAAATTGTACATCACAAGCTGAATCACAAAAATGCTGTGTCGTGAGCAGTCATTAGCAATCCAAAGAATAGGAGGTTCAGGCAACTGACAATTAAAGCTTGAGCTTAGAATAAAGATATTTAGGATTTGTTAGAACTATTCCTGAACTGTCTGAACATTTTGGATTACAATAACAAGCCATGCAGTCTGTCTGACTCAGGCACAGTGTTCACTGTGGCTCTTATATGCCAGAGCCCAGTAAACTTTGAATAAATAGCACTTGTTTTATCAAGACCCCTTGCCACCTGCATAAGTCTGCAGATAGCTGTGGACACTACTGCTAAGCAAGGTAATTTGCCACATATCATTTGAGCTAAAGATCCCTGGATCCTTCTACTTCATGCCCTGTCAAAATACTAAATGTACTATTCCTCAGAGAATTGGCTATTTGTGCTGAGAAATTCCTTATACCATAGGGAAGCATGAAACAGATTCCACTTGCTTTTAATCCTAAAACTAAACCTTTGAAACCGAGTGTCCTGATTTCTTCTTTAATGGGTTTTGAATTCAGAGCTTTTCATATCCAACTGAGATTTGGGATTGGAAATGCCAAGGACTGTGCTTTTCCATTTGAAGTGATTTCCCAAGACTTGCTGTTCAGCCTACTACTGTCATTCTGACAATTAGCTGCAGGATAAGGGGTGCATTTATTTTGCAGGTGCTTGATATCTAAACCTGGGCTTTCCATCAACTAAACACCCAGGAAAGTTTCATTAGACTGAGCTGAGCAAGCTTGTTAAAATGAACAAACGATTTCAGCTGCAGGTTAAAAAAAAAATAATCCCCCAAAATAAACATAAAGCTACTAATAAAAAAAAGGAGAATATAAATCCACCCAGTTACATGTGCTGGAAAAAATTGTAATCTTGCCCCACCGAGATCAGCTGTTTTTGCTGCTATATATACCCAGTATATTGTATTCCTCTCCTTGGAGAGCCCAAAGAAGGGCTCCAGGAGGTCATAAATCCCCATGGGGGGACATAACTGAAGACATCACTTTCATTTCAAAAATTCAAGGCTTTCATTTCCTAAAGGTGATCATCAATATTAGTTGTACATTAACTGTATGTAAACAGAGGCTTTATAGTAAAAATTCCCTAACTTTCCCCTTGTCATGCTCTTGGAATTTGAAGCTGGCTCAAATTTTTGGAGCATGTCCACACTATGTTCTCATTCACCGATGCAGAAAACTTGTTGAGTCTTATCCCATTTTTTATATGGCTACCTGTGTACAGAATTTTACTCTCCTTTTACCCCCAGGCTGCGCACAAAAACCAGCGTTTACTTTGTTTTCTAGAGCGCAGCAAGCTCCGACGCACAAGCGTCACTTCTCACAGCGAGGGGTAAGTTACCGTTTTCCTCAAATCATTCCACCTTGATTCGGGAGGAAAAAAAAAAAAAAAACCCAAAGGGTTTTTTCCCTTTACGAGATGTCAGAAAAAAAAAAAAAGGGGCAGCTTTCGAAAAAAAAAAAAAAAGGCAGACAAAAAAAAAACCAAAACCAAACAAAAAACCAAAAAAACAAAGGGTTTTTTTCCCTCTGTTTCCACTGTTCCTCTGTTACCTTTGACAGCACCTCACCTTAAAGGCACCTTTCCACCTCAGCATTCCCGGTGCGCTGCGGTCCCTCATGCCACCTCCCTGAACCATCCTCGAAGCAAAAAGTGACGTGGAAAAAAAAACCCCAAAAAACCAAAAACCCAAACAAGCACCTTACCTACAGCCTAGGAGTTGTCACCTGGGCTTTAAGCGGTATTTGGGGCAGGGCCGGTCATTCCCCGGGCCGGGCTGTCATAGCCGCCCTCTGCTCGGCGTTACGGGGAGGATTTAATGTGCTGCCAGCGGTGACACCGCGGGACCCGAGTGTCCCCGGCCCCCGCCGCTGTCACAATAAGAGTCTCCACTGCCCGGACACTCGTCCCAGGGCCGGAGCCGGGGATTTTGGGCAGGTGCCCGCGGGCAGCGAATCCCCCGCCGGGGGCAGCGGTGGAACCGCCCGGCGCTCGCAGGGGCTGGTCCGGGCGCTGCTGGAAGGGGCGGCCGGACCCCGCTCCTGCCCCCGGTCTGGCCCCGCTCCCGGACCCCGCTGCGGGTCTGGGGACTCCCCCTGGAGCTCTGGGGGTGGCGGGGGGCAGGAGCCGCCGGCCCCGGCTCTCCCCGTCCCGTCCCATCCCGCCCCGAGGGGACGCGGCCGCCGCTCCCGGGAGCGCCCCTCGCTCCGCAGGAGAAGGGAGAGAACTGAAGGCGACAGCTTTTGAACAGAAAAGCAGCTTTTCTGCCCGTAGCACCGCCAGGGAGCAGCGAGGAAGGACTGCTGCAGTATGTCTGAATGTCCCTCAGTCCCACTCCGTTATCCCAATGAAATCGTCGCCCAGAGAAGCTGTGGCTGCCCCATCCCTGGAAATGTTCAAGGCGAGGTTGAACGGGGCCCTGAGCAACGTGGTCTAGTGCAAAGTGTCCCTGCCCGTGGCAGAGGATTTGGAACTGGGTGATCTCTAAGGTGCCTTCCAACCAAAACCACTTTCTGATTCTAAATTCCTTGTTTAATTAATTTACTAATTGCCTGTGTAGTGATAACACCCTGGTTCTGCTTTCAAGGCTGTGCACTTAAAGGCAATAAGTACTCCAGAGACAGGTTTAAACGTGGTTTAAGCATCTCCGGCCCCAGGGTAACCCCCACCCCGCTCCAGTGCAGAGCTGTCAGGAGCAGTGGCACTGTTCATGGATGTGTCTGAACAGTCACAAACTGAATAGCAACACTAGACTTACAGAAATAATATACGATAAAAATATGTTAAATATTTATAGTTTTATGTTCATTATTTATAGTTCATTATTGCAGCTGTTTACATGGACTAAAAAAATGCAGCTATAATGTTTTCACCAGGACAGCAACAGATCCTGCTGGCAGATTAGGTGATTCGTATCCCTTTAATCAACAGTTCAATGCCTAATTGCATCTTAAATTAACATTATAGTGTTTTAAGTATCTTAATTATACTCTGGCAACTCTTGCCTATTGTTTAAAAGCACCCCAAGCCTGAAAGTACTACAGTTGGGCTGAGTGTGGGCCCTCAGCCTCCTCCTCTCTCCCTTCACTGTGCCCTTGAGTCTGTCAGCACAGCGATCTTCAAGAGGTTAATCCACATTTAGTGTTTGTATTTAAACAGCGGCCCAGCGTTTGTGAACTAAAACTTACATAGCAGGTGTTAATTGAGTGCAAATTTATTTAAATTCCTCCTCGTGGAAGTGATTAAGGGAGGGAGTGTGTCCCTAGTTGTTGGAGAAGTTATTTGCTTTTGAGGTAAAAAAAAAAAAAAATTATAAATCGGTAGTTTGCACAGAGTGAGTACTCAAAAAAAAAAAAAAGGTACCCGTGGGATGATCATTTGCCCTGCGGGAAGCTGTGAACATGGTAAAGGTCAGGCTGTGTGCTCAGACAGGCTCCCTGACTCCCCACCGACTTCAATGAGGGTGCAGTGTGCTTAGTTCAGAACTAAAGGTGGCTGCAAGGCACCAATTTAAGGACAGCTTTACACACTTAAAAGACTGGACACAAGGGGGACGACTTGTGTGAAAGAGAAGGAGCAGAAAAACGTGAGATCCAGAAGGTAGGGGAGAAAAAGAAAGAAAGAAAGAAAGAACTGGAAGCTGAACTGATAAAAGCAGAGGAATAAATCTCATTGCCTGTGCCAAGTAACTTAATAGTGCTGTGCCCAGCACTGCGAGGTGTTAGAAACCAGCTTTTCTGTCCTGCTTCAGTTTACTTTCTAAGAATGGTGACTTGCTGTGACTGATCAGGTTCTCCTTAGTTGCTTGAGTCATGCAGGAAAAAATGTCTAGAAGGAGAGCTAGGAATATTTTGCTTATTTATTAAGGACACTTAAAAGCTACTTAAAAGGCCTGCCAGTATAGTTAGTGCCTGAAGCCTTTTCTTTTGCTTAGATTAAGTTCCTTTAATGAAGTTAATAATCAGCATAGATTTTGTTCTGCTTCTTTAAGGCTGTTGAGGAGGACACACTCTAATCTGCAGGTATAAAGGGCTCAGAAAGGAGCAGTGAGAGTCTTCTTGAATTGCATTTTCTGGGTTCTGTGGAGTGGCTGTTACTAAGCAATAACTGGGAGAAGTAAGAGTACAAGGGTTTAGTTCATTTTATAGTTATTCCCAGTAATGGGTTTGTTCTGTCATCACTGTTGGTATTTGCCTTTGGTAATACAGTTGCAACCACATATGCTACATGAGAGAGTTATATGCTAAATCTGACTAAAAAGACTTATTTTACAGCCAGTCATTAGCCATGATTGCTGAGTTTGAAGTAACAGCAACAATTACAATGCTGTGTCCCATTCATAATGATGTTTCAAAGCATGTGGCAGTAAGTCTGTGGGCTTTAAAGATATTTAAAAGCTCATAGATGGGTATATTTTAGTAGGTATATGGGTATATTGAGATGTGTCCAAAGTCTGGTTCAGCACTGCTGTCAGTAAAAAGCAATCTGCAGCTCTGTATACTAGTTAATGTTTTATATTTTAAAAAGCTATTACATAGCTGATTTTGATGGCATGTTATATCCCTTCATGTAGTGGGGTCTGCTTAGTGTCCCAGCTGATTTCCCTGGAGCAAGCCTGGATTTCATGGAAGCCAAACTGAGAGCCTCCTCTTAGTGATCTGCAAGTTATTGAAGCAAACCCAGTTTTACTCAGTGGTTCAGTGAAATAATTCCTGTGCATGGATACATCCATATTGAAGAGTGATGTCTCCTCTAGTGAAATTTGGAGGGAGGGTGTTCAGAATTGTTAAAATAACCGGTTTAGTTAAAATGGCTGAGCACACCCAAAAATAATCTGTACCTCAGGGAATGCTCTGTCACGGACAGCCGTTTACACAGGCTGTAACAGGATCACTGCAGTTCCAGGCTGGAATTCAGCTGGGAGAGGAGCCACACGTCTGCCTCGGAGCTCCCACTGCCACAAACAGGGCTGAGGAAACTCCTCTGCAGGGCTTGGATGTCTGTTCTGAACTGTCACCCTTTGAGGTCACCTTTCTGCCCCTAAACCCCTGAGAAACCCTACAGAAATGGGGATGGAATTGCCAATATGTGTGTTCTAACTTGTTTTGCTTCTCTGGAAAAATCAGACGCGATAACTGATAATGCAGTAAGTGCACAGTGACTTGAGAGCTGCATTTGGGATGGAAATTGGATTGAGACTTGTTATAAGATGCAACACTTCATTACTGTGGGGAAATCTCCATCTCCTGAGTGGGGAGTGTCCTTGCCATGCCATGGGACAGTTTTCACTTCATCCAGTGGGTCACTGGTTCAGTACTTCCCCTGCACAGGTGCTTTGCAGGTACCATCTGCACTATGCTGCCAGCACCTTGAGTTTTACTGCTGTCTTTCAGAATAAGAAACAGAAACATGAGGTGATGCCACTTGGCCAAGGCTACAGAGGAAGGAGGTGGCAACAGAATTGTACCCTGACATTTCCCAGGTGTTGTGATCTTTGTCTCGTGCTCTGCTGTGGAGCCAAAGGTCTTCTACAGGCTATGATTTGGGGCGGTGCCTTTAAATTACTTACAGATAGGCTGTTCTGACAGTGCCATCAGGCACTTACCTGAACCTTTGGGTTAATGACACATTGTCAAATTGAGCCTGTGTAGCTGGGCTGGTGTTACACATTGCCATTGTCACACAGGCAAACAGCTCAAGTGACTGCATGGGCCTGTTCCCCCATCAGGGTAAGGGACACTGGAGCTTTGCAGCTGAATCACTGGAGCATTCATCCCCTAAGTGTTGTAAAAAGCTAACCCAGGGATGTGATTTTTTTTCTTTGTCTTACCTCAGAGGTGAAGCCCGAGGTGAGTTTTCATAAGCTCCGTGAAAGTCTTCAGCTTGGCCCTTGGAGTTCATCTGACCAAAGCTGGTGGCTGCTGCTCGACTGCCCAGCCCTGGGGTCTCTGGGCTGTAGGATGGGAGGCCAGATGCCCCTCGGTCCTTGGCTCCTGCCTGGCTGTTCCTGGGGAAGGTGGGTTTCTTCATGGTGACCTGCACAGCTGGCCTGTGGGCAGCACCTGAAAAGCTCTCCAGCTCTTTTGCTCCTGGAAGCAGAATTGTCCCCAAGTCAGGTAGGAAGCGGTGGTGGTTCACCAACACAACACCTGCAATAACAGGGGGGCAGGAGGCTGGAATGTCTGAGCAGGTGGATGAGAGCTCAGCCTGCCTGGGCTCTGCAGAGACCAAAACCTGCCCAACTGCATTAGCCAACCCTCCCTTCTCACCAGGGCTGCTGAGCTTGGGATGCATGAAAGGTGCTATTCTGTTTGCAGGTGGCCTTCAGCACAAGCCAAGCAGGTCAGGTGTTACAATAAACAAGGTACAGACACAGCCCATGTGTTGGACCACGCTGGAATCCCTGAAGGGATGAAGCTCAGGGATGAGACTCCTCTGTGAGAGGGAACATCATCTCCACATTGACCCAGGTAGAAGAGGGATCAAAAGCAGAAACACAGAACAACTAGCATCCAACTAGCATCCAAATGCATCCAAGAAGATTGCATTTCTGGGGTGTTTCTCTTCTCTTGAGCCTACAAAATTGTTTGAGTCTGGCTTCTGCTTGGCAAATATCTGTGGTTCTGCCTGGTGTTGAGCTGCAGCAAATTCTTTTGTGCTTAGTTGCTCAACGCAGAAATCCGTGTGCTTACCTGGGGAAACAGAGAGATGAGCACTGGATGCTGCAGATCCAAATTCATTTTCAGCAACGCATTTAAATATTCCAGAGTCTTCTGGAAAAGCTTCTGTAATAACCAGGGTGCAGACTTCCTCTGAAATAACAAATTCAGGCGTGATGTTGTACCAGAGAGCCAAATGTTAACCTATAGGAATTGGTCCTTGCAGGAGGAGTGTGACTTAGTGATGGGATTTGGCATCAATAAAGTGCAAAAAAGTGATGTATAGGGCATAGGATGTTAAGGGATTCAGAAGGAACAAAAAATGAAAGAAGACTCTTTTTTCCTGTGATATTAATTAAACAAGGCACATTTTTTGTTGTGGATTTTTTGTGGTTTTTTTTTTTTTTTTTTTTGGCTGATTGGGGCTTGGGTTTTGTTTTTTTTTTTGCTAAGTTCTGTCTTCTCTTGCACAAGTTTAAACCCCATACAAGATTATAATTCAGAATGGTGGATATGTTTTCCCTTAGCACAGGGTACTCTTCACTGACTTAATTAAAGAGGGTTGATACTTTTTTCATTGTGTTGTGAAAAAACTCAGGGCCTTTTGGGTGCTTTTTTTCAAAATTAAGAACTTGAAAGCTCTTTGTCTGACTCTTAATGTTGTCTTCTGACCACCCTTTGGACATTGTTGTTTTATCTTGGTGGGAAATCCTGAGTGTGAGGTAATTAACTGATGGAATGTCTAACACAAAATGCACAGTGTACTTACCAGGAACTGCTGATGAACAAGCCTCTGCTCAAAATAAGAGAGAAAAAAATTGAATGGTTATAAGACCAGAATGGAAAAAAAGCCCTTCATTCCTCACTCCCTTCCCCACCTCAGCTGCCACCCTGGTTACAAAGGAACCATCTCCCTTTGAGTCCATCAAGAGAAATACCATCTGGATAGGGAAAGCTCAGGTTTGGCTGGGGAACATGGTGGTACAAACACCTCTCCACTGAGGTGACATGGAAAGAGCTCCTCTGACTTTGGAGTTAGTTGCTGTGAATTTGGCACGCTGGAGCTCTGGCTTCATGCCTGGGGGAATCAGAAATTGTTTAAACTTTATATATCTATATATCTATATCTTTATATCTATATATATGTTTATCTATATATCTATATCTATATATCTATATATCTGTATATCTATATCTTTTTCCCCTGAGTCCCTCAGTAGTTCTAACACATGGTGACAATGCCTCCATGGCTCAGCAGTACTGTCATTAATAACCAACAGTGTGGAATCTCCTCCCGTTGTGCCTGACCCTCTCATGCGTTGCCAGAGGAAGTGCAGACTCTGTCCAGCCTGTGACTTCAGGTCATCTGATACTTGTAAACTTAACTCTGCCTCTGTGAACGTGTACAATCTCCTGATTTTCATAGCAGTTCTTCTTCCTGTCTCATCACTGTCCCAGTAAAATGACATCAAGCAGATGTAGCAGCACCTACTTTTTCGCAGGATTCGGAAATCAGCAGAATCTCTGATCTGATCATATTCTCTGTACCAGTGAACTTGTAAGGTGGGTGTAGAGTGAATTCGACATTCAAACACCACCAACTGACCCTTCGTAGCCCTTATGTTTTGCAGACCCTGGAGGAGAAAAATATTTCTGTTAAATGTCTGATCCAAGTATTTCCCTATCAAAGCAATTATTAGGAAATGATACATCCTTCAGGGAAGAAGATGGTCTCATGCCCCTATTTTTATTTTACTTACAAGAGTTGATTTATTTCTAAATGTATTTGCAGTGGGTTGTGAGGAGAGAGTTTTTTTCACCAGTAAACCAGTGCTCATTAAAGCCTCGCTTGTGCAGTTAAATAAAGACACAAATGCAGGAAAAAAACATCTATTCCAGTGGATGTAACATTATAAGGGAAGCTACTATGTGAGAGCTTTCCACTTCAGCCTCCCTTGCAGGAAACAAATAAGATGAATTCACATAGTTCTGTCTGGATCATTTACCAATTAAGGCATTAATTTGATAGTCATCACCAACGAAGTACGTTGGCTTTTTTGAGTTGTACATGAACCAGTGTTCCAGCCTAGAAATAGCCTCTGATGGAACAAGAAAACCCACAATCTAGTGCTGGTAGCTGCAGAGCAAGCTCTGTTGTTCAGGTAGGTTGTGCTCTTTACCTTTGTGAACACAGGTGTGCTCCCATAGGCAGACCCGGTCAGGCTCCCCGAGGGACTCTGCATCTGGATGGCAAAGAAAGGGGACATTTACAGGTTGAATTCTCCTTAGGCACAAACCTGGCTGTGTGGCTGGCACTTTACTTTGAAAGAGAAGAAGACTGAGAATGTTTTATCTGTTGTTCATGTCCCAGGCTGATAAATACCCCATGGAGAGCCTTGTTGAAGTGCTTCAAGAAGAAATAACTCCTTGGCCTGTGAGCATCAAGTTAGCAGGAAGAGGGGCTGATAACCAGTAAGTGTTGCTTAGAGCTTTAAGGCAATTACTTGCCCACATCTTGCGGTCTCTATGTGAAGATGAGTGCTGCTTGCCAGTAGTTGTCCCCTTCTACAGGGATCCTGATGTGTTTTAGTTGATCCCAGGTCTAGTGCTTCCTGGCTTGTGTGGTTTCTGTGGTAGCTACAGTGAGGCTGAATGTAGAGAAATGAGCTGGATCTTTGGTACTCTGTCCTGACATCCTACTTTACAGCTCAGCTGACACAGAGGTTACAGTAAGGCCTCTGATTAAGCAAGAAAAGCAGTTTTAAGATGATCAAATATTTGTAGTGGAAGATATGTCCTTGTGCCATGGTGGAGTGTTGATGTGCACTCATATCTTTCTCATTTAGCTTTGAAACCATGTGTCTTGCATAAAAATATGCAAATGAAGTGCTTGGGTTTGTTTTGTTGTGACATTGGTCTTTTTTTTAATAATCTTTTCTCTGAAATAACCCGAATTATCAGCTCTTTTCCTCCCAGCATGAGTTAAAGTGCAAGCCTCTAGGTGTTCTGACCTCCCCAGCTCTTGGTCAAGTGTGTGTTCTAAACCAGCTATCTGTTCTGAAGTGAATCTTTGAAGTGTGGCAGTTCCTTGAGCATTTCCAGCCCTGTCACCTGCTCCATCAATTCTCTTGGCAATTCTGACTGGGAAATGGTCCGAACCAGAAAGCCCTTTTCTAGAGCTTGGGGTCCACATCTTGATATTCATGATGACCCTTGCCTCCTAGTCACTTGCTGAAGATGAGCTTGAGCTGATCCTTGCAAAATATTTCTAGAATGCTGTAAATAATAATTTAAAATGTGTAGCCTGCTCTTTGAAGGTCAGTAGATAAGGCTGAATTAAAGGGGTGTAACTCTGGCTACTGGAGACTGCATTGGCTGAGGAACCAGTGGACAGCAAAACATTGGTGGCTTTCTGCTTTTTCCCCGTGTGTGTATAAAAATAAACAAGGCAGGAGGGAACCAGAGACTTTAGGAGGACAAGTATACTCGATCCAATAATGTTTATACTTACTGTGACATTCCTCTGGCCCTGACAGGATGCTGAGACTTGCAAGGAGGCTTAGCCTTTGGATTTATCCTAAGAACCTGGAGAGACAAACATAAAGCAGTGTGTGCTTAGAACTATCTCCTTTTCCTTACAGCACAGAGATGACTCTGTTTTGTGAACTGAACATAGGCTGGTTGGAGAGCTGGTGCAGAGAAAACAGAAGCCTCCTGAATATTTGAGAGTTAGGCTCAGGTCACCTTCAAAACATGGAGACAATTAATCAAGTGAGCACAGGGCCCCAGGTACAGTTGCCCATCTACTTGGACCACCCGTGGCCTTCACAGTTCTATCTGTTGCTCTTGATTTATAAGTATCTCTCAAGCAGCTCAAGGATGGCTCCTGTCCAGGGTTATATCATGAGGCCATCAACAGGGCTGTGCCGTGATGCAATGGCTGCTGGATAATCCCAAACCCTCGAGTGTGGGAGGAGGGCCTGGGAAGCCAAAGTTATTGAGTTGCCCCGGGTTCCCAGCACAAACCAGTCCTGGCTGGACTGCACCACAGATTCCTGGGATGCTGGCTGCACTGACGCCTTCCCATCTATCAGGGAACAGTTGGTACAGTCAGTTTTCGGGACCTGTAGAATTGGATGATTTGTTTTTTCTCTTTTGCCTCCTGAGAAAAAGGGTGATGAAAATTCAGACATGCAGATTATGAAAGGAGCTCCTGGGTTGACACATCTGCTTTAAAGGTTGTTCCACATGCCTGAGACAGCACTAACAAAACTGCTTTGGAGGGTCATCACCTCCTCTTTTTCTGTACAACAGAAGAGTTCATTCTCCTTAGAACTGCTACCACTTTTCATGTTCCACTCTTTTTCCAATACATGACCAGTCTGGAATCAGGCAAGACACGCACAGAAGGCACAGAGGTGCCTCTTACCAAGAGCATGTGAAGTGGTCGGGGGGACTGTGGCAGTCTGTGGTTTAAGACATGAGGAATTGCAGGAAGCTTGCTCAGAAAGGTTGGATGAACTGCATCTGTGGAGACCTTGGAGAGAGGTTGCTCTACTGAACTGAATAAAACCATCTCCTGACAAGTTTCCAGCACGATAAAAGAGGCACTGAACTCTAGCAGTAAGCAGGAATAGCACTAGCTTATGAATTTGTGCTCAAGACAGTTGCTCAGTTGCGTGGCATTAGTTCCTCGATGCCACGATTGCTGCTAAGACCTTCTGACGTGGCAGAGGCCATGGCCAAAGATGATGGCTGTCAGTGTTGCAAGTGTGCCTGGACTGATGCCCTGCAGCACACGGGGCAGGCAGTGCTCATACAGTAAATACAGGCAGCCATACGTGGGCTGCTGCAGCTGCCAGGGCTTGAGGAAGGCTGGGCTGACCTCCTGTTGGAGCAGATCCTTTGAGTTCAGCTGAGAGGAGACCCCATCACTGGGAAAGTCTGTTTGTGCTTGGAAAGCCACTTTGCTGCAGTGCCCTGGTTTGCAGACAAGCTCACCCTTCACACACTGGTTCATGTTAGATGCTCTGTTCTCATCTCCTGTTGTGTGGTCCTTCCATTTCACAGTTTGTTTCTCGTGAGTGTGTTGGATGCTTTCACTGTTGCTACTGGATTTGGGCAAAGGAGAGTTCATGGGAACAGATGAAAGGCTTGTGACCTTCACTGCTGGAACAGTCATTGTTTTAGTCTGAATTTCCTGATTTTGGTTGAGACCTAATGACATTAGGGCTTAGGATATTTGGAAAACTAGGAGACTTTCAAGCATGCTGAACGTGGTGGCTGGTGCTGCTTTAAAGGGCAAAGTGGGTTTGGGAGAATAAATGGGCTGAGAGCATTTGGACACTGGCTGCAGTGCTGACCAGCCCTGATGCTACTAATTGGTTTCACATGATGGAAATAGTGGGCTTCTGTGCCAGGACAAAGCTGTCCCATGTGTGTGGCTGTCCAACTTTGCAGTAAAAATGAGAAGAGGTCATTCATCTTCCAAGAAGACACTGGAAGGTCACTCTGAGATATCTGTTTTCCCTCTGACATATCTTCTTTTCTTTATGAGTGATGCTCCAGGCTTCTCTGTCTGTTCTCAGACTCTTGAGATTCTGATCCCGTGCCCCGCTGAGCAATGTGTGTGACATGTCCCTCTGTCCATGTTTCCCTTGCTCAGCAAAGAGACTCCCTACAGCAGGTTAGCAGACCTTCTGCCCTGTGAGGGTGGTGAGGCCCTGGCACAGGTTGCCCACAGAAGCTGTGGCTGCCCCATCCCTGAAAGTGTCCAAGGCCAGGTTGGACAGGGCTTGGAGCAGCCTGGGATAGTGGAAGGTGTCCCTGCCCATGGTTCAGGGGGTGGAACTCGAGGATATTCAAGGTCCCTTCCAACCCAAACCATTCTGTGATTTCATGAAGCTGTGAAAAGTCGTCACTGTACAATTTATGCCCTTGAAAGAATATCTAGCCCAGGTTTTACCTTGGTGAGTCATTCCAGCAGTCCCAGTGTCTCATGTAAATGTCAACCTTTACTTAGTGTAACTCTAGATCTTTGTGAAGTGGACGGAATTAGACTCAGCCAAATGAAGAGCCCAAGGACCTTTGCAACCCAACACCAGAATGATTACAAGGTACATACAGATCATGCTGCTGACACAAACCATAGTGACGACATTCTGGAATTACCTGAATAGTTGACATGGCTGCAGAATTATGCTATGTGCAACACTAGGACAAATTTAACACAGGGTTAGGAAAGTATTAAAGCTTTATGGAGCCCTTTTGCCAGGTGTTTAGATCATGGAAAACACATTAAATCTCTTTTAGGAACAAGACGAGCATCTGCTGGATCTGAAATACACTGCATTGCAAAGAGAGTGTGTAGGGGGAGGAAAACATTTAAAAATTGACACTTAGAAGTGAGGCAGAGCTAGACTGCATCATCACATTAATGTACCAGCATGTCTTTTACTTAGAAAACAGGCTTGAACAGATATATAGGATAACAACCTTCAGTCGGTTTGAAAGAGATCCGTTTTGCAAGCCATCTGCACGTACCTGATGGTGCTGCTCATTCTCATAGAGGTGTTCAAGCTTTGGGAGCCTGTGCTAGACACTTGGATATCTTATGGCACTATAGGACTTAACAGTTATGTGAATATAGGTCTGGTAGGAACGAGGCTTTCCCAAAGGCAGTGGGCTGGAGAGAGCTCTGTCTGGAGCTGTATTCCTTCTGTGCCATATGGCTAAACAGGGAAATTGTCACCCCTTCAGCAGTGAGCTTTCTAGTTGTGAGTTACTTGGTGGTGTGAATATGTGATTAGAACGTGGCTTCTCTGTTGCTCCTGGGGTGTGAATAACGAGACTCCTGTAGGAAGTGAGAAAGGAGTGATTTTGTTTGTTTCTCTTCCTACGCTCCAAGGATCCTGAAAAGGCCAGTTGGGTTTCAGAGAAATTTGTGATTTGTGGAACGATTTCTTAAAATGACTGCTCTTCAGGTGGGGAGTGGGGCAGGTTTGCATCAGCTGGGATAGTCTGAAAATAATCAAATAGCTGTAGGAGGTCATTGTAGCCATTGACAAAGTATTCAGAGAAACTGCAGAATCCTGGTCGGATGTGAAGCTTGCTGAGAGTCTTTCTAAATTGCAGAAATGCAGCTGAACACTGAGTATGTTTGAAAGACCGTTTTTTGGTAGTGTATTTTCAGAACATGTAGCACCAGGGAGCACTGTTTCAGAGGCTTGTTTTCTGGGAATTCAGTTTTTAATGCCTCCCATCAAGCAGGTCAGAGATTTACATCTCAAAAATTGTGTCCAGCACTCCTGTGGGCATTTTCATATGTATTGGGGAAGGGGGGGGGGAGAAGGTGAGCTGGCTTTCAAGGACAGGCTCCCTGGAGAACAGCATGGCTGCTGAAATGTGTGTGCTGTGCTCCACGCTTCAAAGTCTTTGCTAAGTTTAAGATGAGTTTGTCCATTTTACAGAGAAAACGAAAAGAACATCCCCACTGAGAGTGTAATGGCATTTGGGCAGTGGTAGCCTTAATATAGGAGAGAGCACAGTAAAAACTTAATTTTGGAATTAATTAAGGCACATCCCTGATGAGATGGGATGGTTTGCCAACACCCCCAGTGTATGGTTCACGTGGCTGTGAATCCTGTGGGATTTTGGTGCCCACGGGCAGCCTGAAGGGGTGCACATCCTCTGGGGGAGGGGGGGAGTTCTGCTCATGGGCACATGTCCCACTCCAAGTGCAGAGTGAAGAGATGGGGCTGCAATATCTCTCCCTTCAAATCACCTTTTGGTTGCCTTGAAGGTGCCCTGGGAGGGGAGCAGAGCTCCCTGGTGAGGCTCGGGGGCCGCCTAGTGAGAGGCACTGCAGCAGCCCCAGCAGCCCTGTGGGACAGGCTGGGACAGACAAGCCCTTCATCCAGCGGCTGGGAACGGCTCACGCTTCAGGGCTGAGAGGGAATTAATTTTATCCCTCGCATTACATGCCTCTTCTGACTACAGCTGTTTCTCAGGGCCGGAAAATCCTGGCTTTCCCTCCCCTTACTTGGATAACAGCTGAACTGCTGACAGATATCGGACACTTAAGTCAAACTGGAGTTCCTAGAACCCAGTGACTAAATCCCCTTTTAAGCACCGACATTAAAAGACACCTAGGGCTTATTTTAAGAGATGCTAAGCTTCCACTTGAAACCATGAGCCTCCATACTTGTTAAAGTAAGTAGATTCATGTCAAGCAGAAATCCTGGTCATTTGCTTCCTTTCTTCCCCATAAAAAAATCCCCAACCCTGCCCCACTTCTTTGCATGCCAGAGCATTACAGAGATGTAGTAGGATTTTGAGGCCAGGCTGCCTGACACGTGAGCACTGCAGGTCCTGGGGCATGTAGTGCATGAAGACACTGGTGCCCACAGATATAACCTGAAGAGTGTGTGCAGGTGAGAGTAAAGGCAATAGTATTTGAGGAGTTCCTGGGCATCCTGTGCCACCTCTGCTCTCTGCTGCCTGTGCTGTGTGTACCTTTGGCATTCACCCTGCACAGGCACACCCAGTGGCTGTGGTTGGTGGAGGTCGGGGGTCCTTTGTGTGAACCCCAGGGACAAGGATTCAGTGCCGCGGAAAGAATTTTATTGCCAGAACCTGGAAATGCTATTTCTGCAGTCAGGATGCTGGAACAAAGCTAGACTAAATTCTTTCCCGAAAGCTGAGGGGAAACATCCACAGGCTCGCTGCCTGATGGATCAGTGCTTCCTAGGAATCTTGTGTTAATGCTGAGCAGGTGCACTGAGGCAATGCTGGGCTGCGCTGGTCAGGTACAAATCCGTGAGCCATCCGAGCCACCAGTTCCTCCTCCAGCCTGTACAACCCCGGCTGTGTGTGAGCAGGGGATGAATCGAATTCCAGCTCTCCCTTTCACTGCCTACTGCTGGAGGATGCTTTCCCCATTCCCCCATGGATACCTGCAGTGAATAACGCAGCAGGGACGCACTCACAACATGAAAACCCAGGGTCTTTTTTTTTTAAGGTAGAAAATATGCCAGTGCCCTGTTCAGCCAGAGAGTGAGTGACCCTGCACCATGATCCAGTGGTGACCCTGCACCATGATCCAGTGGTGACCCTGCTGTGTGTCCCGAGTAGGATTAAGTTCCCAGGGCCAAGGAGGAGGGCAAGCAGCCCGAGCAGCCCCACGCTGCATGGGGGGCACACCTTCCAAGGAGGCGGCTGTCATTCCAGCAGGCTTAGGAGGAGACCGGGGCTGTGTGGCCAGTGCATGTGGCTGTGTGTGACTCAGGGCTTTGCTATCTGGAGCCCCGAGGATGACTTGCTGTTTCACGTTTGCTTTCGCTTCCCGCAGAACGCGGCGTGTTCTGAACTCTGCTGGCCACAGACCTCACCTGCTGCCCGTGCTCCTCCTCCAGGGAGAAGGAACTTCTGTGAACAGCACTGTAGGAACTGCAGCTCTGACAGCATCCAACATAGCACGGCATGTCTTTACTGTGCCAGTAATTACCAAAATGGAAAAAGAGATTTTTCTGTCCCAAACCCTCATGATTTTACTTATCTGATTTTAATTGTTTTGAATAGGAACAAAGGGAAATTATATCCTTAGGTGGGAACGTCTTCCAATAGGATTTCTCTAGACTGACAGCCATAGCCAAGTTGCACTCAGAAGCAGATAGGAATCTGGGGTAGCTTTTGCAGAGCCTGTATAATACTTTTCTCTGAAGTGAAATATATAATATAATATTTTTCTCTGTGAAAAGCAGCATGTGCCTACTGGAGCTTCTGACATCTCCTGTCACACAGGTGATTACTGACTGGTGGTCTGATGCTTCTGCCATGTAAACCTGATGTCATCAAAGCTGGTGGACCCAGAGATGAACCAAAGCTCCTGAGCCTGCCTGCCCTCTTGTCCCACTGCACGTGAGGCCCCTGAGCTGCCCATGCTGTTGTGCCCAGTGCAAAGGCTGCAGGGAAAACACGGGTGAGTGGCTGTCGTGCACCACGGGAGCTTCTTCCAGCCTGTTACCCAACCTGTAATCCTCCAGGTTACCCAACCCCTCACATCTGTGCCTGCAGTGAATTCTGACCTCAAAGTCCTGTCCTGTTCTGACCAGCACTGCTCACCATCACCACCAGCACTGCTCACCATCACCCAAAATGGGCAGTGCCAGCACTGCCACAGGTGGGGCAGAGTCAGTGTGTGAGATCTGAATGTGCACAATTAAACAAGAGCCCGGGGTCCCCCTGCAGTCTGTTTGCTGTGGGGAGTGCTGTTTGAAGCTCTCCTGTCTCCAGTTTCCCTGACAAGCCAGGAGATGTTTTTAGCTCAGTGGCCTCCTGATGGAGAAGTGTCTGTCTGGGCCATCCCCCAGTGCTGTGGGGTGTCAGCCTAGGAGTGGGGAGGTGCACATCCAAAGGATGGGGTCTTTGGCCACCTCCTGCCCACTTTGGGGCAAAGCTCTTCCCTCTGCTGCCCCCTGAGCAGCAGAGTTATCTCAAGTGACTTTAAAATGGTGCTAGAGCAGGTTGTTAGTGTTGTGTGGGAGGGTGGCAGTGAGAGAGCAGGGGGTGCAGATGGAAGTGATGCCAACACAAGGAAGGCATTTTCAGTCATTTTGGCCTTGTGGGGGTCTTGCAGAGGCTGGAGGGTTGCTGTGCACTGGGGCAGAGCTGGGGGCTCTTAAATACTTGTTCTCAGTGCTGTGGTCCAAATCCTATCTCTGATCTCTTCACCAGAGAAGCTGGGGCAGCTCTAGCATCTAAAAGAGAATTTGAGTCTACACCAAGAGCTCTGATTCATCAGCAGCTTGTGTAATTATCCAAAACTGCTGGGAGCCAGAGTGCAGCACATAACTAAGTCTGGAAGAAGAGCAGTGGTCAGAGCACTGTCAGCCCACTGCATGTGTTGTTGTGTCACCATGAAGCTCAAAGCAGGGATCTACCTGTTGCACTGTAAAATATTCTGGAGAAAACTATTCCAGCCTTGGAGCTTTTACACAGAATTCATGCATTTTAATCATGCATTTAAGAAATGCAAATAATTAGAATATAGCTAAGCACTTCAGAGGCATGTCTGCAGAACCAAGGTGTAGACTGTGAAGCAGTTAAAAGTTCCAATTCCCCAAACCGTCATTGTTCAAGTTGCCTAAATTAATCTGTCACTGTACAGTCAAAGGAGGCTTTTTATAGGGAAATAATTTTACAAACCCCAAGCCATTTCATAGAAAATTGGGCTGGCAGAATGCGTTGCATAAAATGAAGTCACTCGCACAGATGTTTCTTGAATGAAGAATAAATGCACCCCTGCTCTGGTGGTTATTGTCTGTCTCCAGGAAGCATCAAGACAGGACTGTTAAAGCTCTTGTAACAGTGACATATGCCATACCCCATGTCCAGGGAGGGGAAAAGGTTAGTTTAAATTAATATCTGTGGCATTTGGGCTCCCACAAAGTCCCGTGGACCTGACTGATGCAGGGCAGTGACCTGCCCACTGTCAGGAGCCCACACACAGGGGGGAAGGGGCTGTGCAGCCCAAACCCTGCCAGAAATAGGAGCAGTCTAATTTTAACTGCATGGACAGCATTTGATATGGAAGCAGCTGGTGTCACACAAAACTGGGGGCCTGCCCAGCAACCCGAGTGCTAAAGCAAATATGTTCATTTCCACCCAAAGGCCTGGCTTTAGCTTGCACTTGACTCAGTATAAATCAGAGCTGTAGCTTTGTAACTGTAGATGTGCAGTGCCCAAACTCTTAGATTTTCATGCCATTTCCTTAGAAAATGAGGTATGACTTATTTATTTTTTTCACCCTGTAATCCATTACATGCCAGTACGTACCTGTTTCTGTCTACAGCTGGGGAAAAGGTTTTTTGGTCATGTTCTTTCTGTTCCCCTCTCATGAAAAGGCTTTCTACAATGAAAAGTTTATCTAGTGAAAGCCAACAGTGGTCTGAACCTTAACTACTGGTAGTCTCTTGATGTGATAGACATCATGCTAATTACCCAAGAGCACATTTAGTGCTCTCAGTGGGTGCTCAGATTGCCATCTTTTTGGCAGCTGAGGCACAAATTTTCTAGGTAGAAAAACCTGAAAAATACAGCAGGGCTTGAATTTTCTGTCTGCTAGAGAGTGGCAGGGGTAGCACGTGCACCAAACTCTAGCTCAAGTGTCCTGTAGGTAACTGATACTGCTTAATTATTGGAAAGTCTTACAAAACCAAAAATGCCTGATCTGGTGTGTACCCAGCTGCTCTGGAAACACGTCACAAATGTGGCTGTGTCCTGGTGGCTGTGAACTCCAGCCTGGGCTGCAACCAGAGCCTGCAGCAGCCCTGGCATTCAGTGAGGGGCTGTCCCCTGCCCTCAGTAGCCTTTGGAAATCAGGAAATGGTGATAGGGAGGCATGTGTGAAGTGAGAGGCACAGGAGAGCCAGAGCTTTGTCTCTGACTGCCCTCCCTGCCAAAAAAAAAAAAAAAAAAGTTTGCTTCTGCTTAGAGAGCTGGTCAGTAAATGCATTTAAAATGTTATAGGTTAAATCAGGAACAGAGGTAGAGGTGAGTTGAAGTTCTTGTCAACAGTATTTGTGGAAAATGGACAAAGTAGCTCTCTCAGGCAGTGAACACACATCACTGAATTTTTTTCCTGCCTTTTGCAACAACAGTGAGGAATTTCTCTAGGAGATAACAGTGTTATGGACAAAGCAAAATCTACTAATTAATACAACTGAAAAACAAAGTATGAAAAGGAAGAGTTGTTATCTAGGCAACAGAGGGAATAAAGTTCCTTTCAAGAGGGCCTGGGCTCTGAGTCCTGCCCTGCTGGGATAGGAGAGGAGGGCTCTGCCCATCACCCGAGGTTACCCTCTGCTGCTGCCCTGTTGCAGGGGCACAGATGGGCTGTTCTTCCTCCTTGGCTGCTCAGAGGAATAGCCAGGTGATGTATTTTGGTGGCACAATGTGAGTTAGTTTGCTGGACAGTTAACTTTTGTGGCTGCAGATGTTGTGTTGTGGAAGAATCAGTGCAGCCTGTGCTGCTGAAAGGTGGAGCAGGGGGAAAGACTAAATCCAAATCCCACTCCCGTGGTTCCGGTTACCTCCATTGCCTACAGTTCCCAGTGCTGTGAAAAGGCTCTCAGTGAGAAGTTGCATTATATTTTCTGGCCACTTTCTTCCCTGTAGCAACTCTATCTCTTTTCTCTTTAGCCTGCCAGTGAGACTTGTTTAGGAGGAAGCTGTGGAGCCCAGCTCTGTGGATGCTCTGCTGCACAACCAAGCCCACATTGCAGGTGAGTGCCTTGTGGACTGCCTGCCTCTTCTCTCAACCCAGGACCCTAAATGAAGCTGTGATGGATTAGCTGCTTGCAAAGTACCTCATGAACAAAGTGAGATGTTCAGGGGTGCAGAGTTTGTCACCCCTTGTGCCTGTGCTGTGGAGCTGGGATGCCCTGGTTGGCAATGGAGTCCTCTCTTGCTTTGGGAACCACAGTCTTCCTGGGTGCAAGGGTAAGAGCTGCTCATGCAGGCAGGAGGACTGAGCCAAGCATGTTGTGGGGTTGGAGCTGCTGGCTTGCCACAACTCTCAAATGACCACCCTTGATGAGCCCACAGGTAAGAGCAGGGCTCAGTGTGCCAGCCAGGACAATGCTGCTATCTGGAATTGAAAATCATATCCCTCCCTCCTCTCCCCACCCCTGAAAAGCCCTCAAGCATCCTGAGAACATGATTAGTGTGCTAGAAATTAAAGTGTTACTCACCTCTGTAAGCCATCAGTTTGGTTCTGGGGCTCTTGCTGCCAGCAGCTTGAGTCAGTGCTGAGTCTTGAAGCTGCAAGTCTCCTCTCCACCAGCTCCCCTCCGAGGTCTGAAGGCTGTCTGGGGTGGTGGGTTACATTTCTAATGGTCAGATCCCTGCTTGTGAGTGATGGCATGGCGGGAATGTCAGCTGTATGGGAATAAACTGCAGCAATTTATTCCCTCCAGCCAGTTTGAAAGTCAACAGAGTGGCACCATTAGCTGGAACAAAACAGGTCCAGCGTTGTGAGATACAACAGTGACCAGATCCATAGCTGCTTATAATTTGAAATGCTAATAGTCCTGAGTGCTGGAAAGACGCCAGCTCAGGTCGATTGTGGCTCTCTACGTTGAAAGGGAAGGGTAGAAAAACTTCATTAGAAACAGGGCTCTCTTATACAGATCTGGAATGTAAAGAATTTCCTTTTCACTTGGGGTATAAAGAAAACCTGAGCTTCTCCCCAGATGCTGAGGAATGCAGGGAGACAGTTGGGGTTTGGTGGAGCCAGCATTTGGCTGGCTGGCTTGAACAGTTTCGTGTTAGCATCCCCCAGACTTGGTGGAAGAGCTGTGTAAAGCTGATGGGAGCTGAAGTGATGTCCTGTTGATGGTACAGTGCCATTAAACACTTGAATTTCAAGCCAGGTGCATTGTTCAGTGAGGTGCTGTGTAGGGGAGGAGCAGAAGTGAGGGCACTTCTGAAGTGGAGGGTTGTGTCCCTGCCCAGTGTTACTGCAGCAAGCGTAGGTGGAGGTTCCTGTGCTCCCAAACAGCTCACTTGGAGGAATTTCTCTATGTGGGTGCATAAAGGGTAGGAGGCAGATTCCCAAACAAAGCTGCCCACTGCTCTGGAAGTGTCTACAAACTGGTTCTCATCTGCCACTTCAGCAGTGGGGTTGGACTGTTCAGGCCTGGCTTTGTCAGCCTTCATCAGTTCTGTGACAGTGAAGATAACCCGGCTGCTCTGCAGAACCCTGCCCGGCAGTGTGAGGTGCACTGAGTTAGTTACCTTTTGTGGGCTTCTGGAGGTCTTCCCCACACCCACGGTTTGAAAATACGACTTGCAGTTTGGTTTCCTGCAAGCAAGCACGAGCTCCTAAACTTTTCCAGTTACCTTCCTGCTTCATCCATGCTGTGTCCCAGAAGCTGTGTGAAAGAGTATAAATTACTTTTGGCTAAAGCATTTCTCCTGGCACTGTTATTAATGGCTTTAGCATTTTTTTTGTGTCACTGCAAATTGTATCAAGGCCATCAGTGCTCAAGGGTGAGTGTAGGGAATAAGGTGTAGGGATGCTCCCCTCCTCCTCTGGACAAGCAACTTTGCCACAAATCAATGGGATTTACTTGGACCCCCTTGCTAGAAAATCCAGCCCAAGGAATTTAAACTATTATTCACCTCTTGATGGCATAATTATCAGATGAACTTTTGACGTTGGCTTGAATGCAGGGGTGGTGGGAAGAGACTGGCTATTCCAGCCATCTTAAACCCTTCCCAAAATGGAAAACCGGCTGCTGCAAAGGCCACAAATGCTGGGGCCCTTCTTCCTGAAGTGCTTTGACAGGGGCTTCTGAAGTGACATTTCAATTTATACCACATCAAACTCTGAGGCAGATGAGTAGTGAATTTTTAATTTTTTTTTAATTTTTTTTTTTTTCCCCCAGAGAGATTCCTGTATGAGAATGCAGGTAACAAATAATCTCGGTGTGAAAATGAATGGAGCTGCCCTGTGGAGAAATCAGGTGTCTTCACTGGTGAGTTGGTGTCTGGGGTAGTTTAGACAGTAAAAACTGAATTAATTCTAACTGTTGGATTCAGAGTTCAGGCAGAAACTTCTCGCTCCTTGAGAAAATCCAGCACATCTTCCCAGTTTTACGTGAAGAAGCTGAGCATACACTGGTGTTCACAGTGAGCAGTGTGGGGACAGGGAGGGGGCTTGGCAGTGCTGTGGATTTTGGGAGAGAGAGGAGCTCCAGGAGGGCTGTCAGGCCCCAGCAGGTGTTTCCCAAGGAAGGGTTACCTGTGGCAGCCAGAGCTGGCTGGGGTGAGTTCCTGGCAAAGAGGACTCTGAGCAGGCAGGGGTGCCAGGACACCCACGTGTACCAGGGCTGGTAACAGCCAGGGCTCTTCCTCTCCCCAGGGAAGTGCAGGGAACATGACTGAGAGTGAGACATAATAATTTGTGAGCAGAGGAGAGACTCTGGGAGGTCTCAGTCATGCAGCGGTGTCATTGCCAGGAGATGTCACAGCCTGCCTGGGCTCCCGAGGCGGTGCAGGGGCTGTGAGTGTATCCTGGGAGCTCCCCAAGCCTCCCCTGCTGTCTTCCCACACTGAGGTCTCCACGTGGGTGGTAAACACGGGTAGAATCAGTCAAGTTGGGCTGGTTACACTTAGTCAAACCTGTCTGAAACTGGACTCACCAGTAGACTCAGCCAAGTCTGACTGATTAAACTGAACCAAATCTGAGACCAGCAGTTGTTGGGCTGCCTTAATTTTTAATATTACACTGCTCCAACCCCACATTTGTGTTGATATGGTTCCTCTGGCTTCCCAGCAGCAATGCAGGTTTATGTGAGGACCGTGTTTGGGCAGTAGGACATGTTTGACCTTTCTCCTGAGACTGTTGTTCCATTTAAGATCTGATGTTCTCAGTGAGCCAAACAGATCAGTAGTTTTAGCCTAGGTGCTTGTCACGGGGATCTTGTAAATTCAGGCTATCTCTGACCACGTTAGCCAAATACTCTTCTAAATTGTGCTGGTGCATATTTGCAGACTTCAAGGGGATTGAGCAAGTGTGGTGGGAAAGGCCTGTAGAGGAGTATGAGCAATTTGGAGCTGTGTTACTATATCACAGAAGTGGCATTGCTGACAGATATCCTCAGTCATCTGTCAGTATTAACTTCTGAAAGCAACTTAGCAGAGGTGCCTGCTTGCTCTCCACATGCTGGATCCCAGGAGCAGTGTTTTAATGGGGAGACTGGCAAGCCTCAAATTAAAGTTCACTTGCAGTGTTGCAATAGAGATGTTACAAGATGCTGCCTCAAGGCACCCCTTTACTGGGTGCTCTTACAGCTCTCCTAAAGCTGCTTTCTGGTTGCATTCCCTCGGGTTTAATTTCAGATATTTTGACATATCTAATATATTTTTCCACTGTAACTTAAACCTTGTGACAGTCTGGGCCATACAGACTTATCTATAGGCAATCTGAGGAGTGGCGGTGAACATTTTTGGATATTTGCCAGTCCTGGGTAGGGCACTTGCCCTGATATCTATAGAGACAGTGTACTGATGTGCCCCCCAGCTGGGTCCTGACAAGCCTCTGCAGGCTGCATCATGATACAACTCTGCAAGATATGCCAGAATTTTATGTGAGTTTCCCCCCTGGATGTGGGTCTAAGTTTTATGCAGCTACAGCTGAGATATTTCCAGAGAGGAATCTTTTATCCTGGCCTTCCCCTGAGCAACCTACTCGCTAAAGCAGAAAAGATTGAATTCATCGTGATCTCCCATCCCAGTGGCCCCTACAGCTGGGTTTGCCCTTTGGTGGTTGGGAGATGGAGTTAAATTACTGAAAAAGTGTCTCCAAGCAGAGCCTTTTCCCTTGGTGTGTCTCAGCCAGAGATGGCCAGAACACGTGCAGCGTGTGGATCGCCGGCACTTCGCTCCTGCTGCTTTTAGCTCTGGCAGAAGCTCCCCCTGCATGCTCAGGATGCCACCCCAACAGCTGCAGCTCTCTTGATGGACACACCAGCACCTCTGGCCCTCAAGTTTGCAGGGTTTAGTGCCCACAAGAGGACATTTAAATTTATGTTGCCTGTTCTCTGGTAGAAATTTTCTACCTGCCTTCTGCGTGTGGAACCTTTTATAGGAGTTTAGGGACTGGTACGGGGAGGAAGAGGCACTGATGGGAAGCCTGTTTTCTGGCTAGACAGCAGGGCTTAAGTGCTTAAGGCAGAGCCCAATTGTGAGTATAAATAGCTCTCCAGAAGGACAGTGGAAATGACTCCCATACAAAGCAGCTGAACTGGGACCCAGCAAAATAATAACCTTCCTTTTGAAACCCACACCAGTGCCTTGAGACCTGCTGGCTGTGTCAGGTCTGGGAGCAAACTGGGCATCTTGAAAAGTTTGCCAGATGGGGATTGTGAGCCTCTGCAAGTGCCTTTGGTGGAGGAGCTGGATGAGAGAGGGCTGGGTTTCTCTCTCTGTTTTCTATTTTAAGCTGGTCTTGTGTGTCCTAAATATTAGATAAGTTTTTAGGGAAAGAGCTTGGAGCCATTCTCTTTGGGGCAGCTGGTTTTTTGAACTGCAGGAGTTAAGCTCCCGGATGAGTAGCTAAAATAACTAACTAAGCTAAAGCTAAAAGTAGTTTCACCCTAAAACTAAGTGTCTATCTCTATTTCTATCCCACTCTTTGCTTCTAGAAGGGCATCGTGTCTAACTTCATGCAGCATCAAGGACTGTGTGGGTAAGGATTTGCTTTGATATTACCCATGTA